GGGGGGGGGGAGAAGGGAATCATGATAATTTTCGCCGTGCGCCATATTAATTGGACTGGAATATTTATCAATGTTAATTGCGTGCCACGTGGGCCGATTCTTCGCGAGTAACTCGCTTCGTTTCGCATTTATAATGGATTTTAAGCGCAGAGCCGAGCGAAGCTTCTGGATATTTAACCCATACTGACGAGAGACTTGATTATAACGAGTGCTCTTTGTGCGAAATACAGTTCTTGCACTTTGAATAACTTTGGTTTTAATCGTACGGTGTTGCATACCCCGACGTTTTCATCAAAATTGTATAAATTTGCGGAACTTTAACGTATAACGTATATAACGCGGGAGCGTTCGAAACGAAATTGTTATTGCAGTATTCCTAGTTTTCGGGAACCGAATTTCGTGTATAGGTATAGTTACGGAATAAAATTCGCTCGGCATACACGAGCAACAAGTTCCCGTCGTGCGTTACATATTATTATTAGCTTGTCGCACGACCTCGTCATCTTTGCCCGCAGAGCTGGACCTCGATTATTTGGAAAGAAGAGGCGGAAACACTATCACTTACGAGGGCGCCGAGGGGAGCTCGAAGGAGGAGGACAGCCCCGCGGACACATTAGATCGCGTTAAGGTCATCTTCCTGGGTGCACCCGGCGTGGGAAAGACGAGTATAATCCGAGTAAGATTTAATGGCCACGATTGCATCTCTCGAATTAACTAGACCGTTACTTTTTATATACTTTGCGCGAATTTTTTTATATACTTGCTCTTTGCCCTGCAAATCCCTCGATTTTTCTCTCGAATATTAAACGCGCAAGCTCGAAGTTCTAAAGATCCAATTATCTAATGAAAAGATCTGACGAAGAGACATTTTAATTAACATATAATTTATAAGATTTGGACATTACAAATATGTTCCATCAGTCTTATAATTTTTCTACGACGTAATTTTTATCAATCCGACGAACAAGCGAAGATGGTTCTCGATAACCTCGCAAATATCCTATATGAAAAAGCGATTCGTATGTCGTGCGACGTTCGATCGACGAGAGATTCTTTGTCAGAATCTTTGTTTCAACGCCCGCGCGGGAGGAAACAAATCGCGGAAACGAATCGCTCGGACCCTCCGTTCGTTTCCGATAATAGTTTCCGCTTATCGATGACGACGATTATCGGCTCTTCGAGGAAATTAAAAGGCACGACGAATATCCTTAAGGAAGCCGGATCGCTTCTGACATTTCTTTTAATAGCCAAAATTTAAAACTCAAACACAGATTCTGCTGTCCGCGGCGGAACTTTCGATTCGAGCGTGTAGACTCCGTAAGATCCGTAATTGTTTTTTTTTACGAATTCGCGATATTCGTTTTACGCTTCCCAGCAATTCGTCTGGAGCGAATTCTCCGAGGAGTACAGACCGACCGAGAGGCGGGAGACGTTCTACCCGAGCGTGGTGCTGGCCGATCGATTGTACGAACTGAAGATCACCGATCTGCCCACCATCCCTTACTTCCCGGTCAGCTCGCACCTGGAATGGACGGACTTCCGTTATTACGGGCTGCGGAGCGCGACAGCGTACGTGCTCGTGTTTGATCTCAGTAATCAGGACACATTTCAGGTACGTATAATCGCGAGATTCAATGTTCAAAACGCGATGAATTGCGAGGCGGGCCGTCTCGGCGGAAAGACGAAACTTCGCAACTTCGGAAAGAACGTCAGAAACACGGCAGCCGCGCGGCTCGCGCGCTTATCTTTTTTTTGCAAAGTTTTTCTCGCAAGCCTTTTTCTCTTCTCGCGGAAGCCGTCCACGACTTCCGACTTGAAGTCGCGTCAAAGTTGCCGACATAAAAGTTTGATTATCTAGATGTTTGTCCGGGTGACGAAAGATGGTCTTTCTCTCTCTCTCTCTCTCTCTCTCTCTCTCGAGGACAAAACGCAGCACAAGTTAGCTGACGTTAAATCGATTTTGTTAATAATAAGTCAAAAGTATAAATGAAAAATTGCGCGTCGTGACGTTGATGACATTATATTGCACGGGATAAAATGGTACAATAAACAATTAACGACTGCAAGAAGAAAGAATCTTTTTAAAATCATATTTACCTTCTTTAAAAATACTATAACTTCTGACGTTAAAATGTACTGAAACAGCCCACGCACGTGTATCTTCGACATAATAGATTGTAATACTAAAAAAAAACATGTATATATATAATTAAAAATGCCGTATGCATTTATTTTCGATTAACCTTTTCATGTCTGACTTTTATTAAAATAAAAAACACATCTATTTGATTTATTTTTGTCTACTTACTATCTTACTAGGCAAATGATATTTTTTATATTTTAAATTTATCACAATATTTTTTTACGAAAGCTCAAGCGATATTCCCTGTGAAATACGTATGTGGTTTTAATAATTCAATATCAGAGATGTGACTTTTTAAACACGCCAACACACGTGACCCACTGGACGTGAAAGGGTTAATTGAACCCGTGCGCCGATCTCGCATGTTTTTCTTTCATTTCCGACCGATATGTGTTCAGTACATCAGAACGTTACGCGAGCAAATCTACGAGGCGCGCGATATGAGAGGCGTACCCCTGCTGGTGGTCGGGAACAAGCAGGACGAACTGTCGCAGGCCGTCGCCTCCGGGACCAGGTACAGGGACATCGTAAACCTCGTCCGGAAGCACTGGAGATGCGGTTACGTCGAGTGCAGCGCCAGATTTAACTGTCGCGTGGTGCAGGTGCGCGTTATACATTATTTATTAATCTGCCCGCCGTCAATCTGCATCTCATTCGTATTAAGATTAATAACCTTAATTCCCTTGGAATATTAATGCGACTCAATTTCCGCTTCGTATTTAGCATTTAATACCAAAATTGCGACGAGCGAGTAACGCGGTTACTGAGATTCTCGCTGAGAGAAAAAAAATGCGACGACGAAAAATTCATCGAGGGGAGAGCTTGCCATTGAAAATAAGTTTGGGGCTTCTCCCCGAATTGTTTAGAATTTTCTTAGAATCTCAGTTGCGCTATGATGTCCATTTTTTTTTTCTAATTTAATCTTTGTATGCGTCGTTTAATCACTCATTTGCAACGCCTCTTAAAAGAAATTGTCAATCAAGGAGACTCTAACGGCTTTTCTGTATCTTTGGATCGACAGGTATTTCGGGAGCTGATGAAGAGCATACAGTCCATAGAGGGTAGGCCGAACTCGCCGTCACCCGCGGCCATGCAACCGACGCGTTCCCACCAGCAGGACACTAACGAGAGATGCATTCTTCTCTGACATTAAGATTACGCCGCTTCCCTGTTACGACGCAGTCGATTGTTACAATGCATCGTCGTATCGCGTACACCGTACTTGTACCGCGAGCGAGATGAAACCGGAGCAATGGGGCCG